CCCCCAACCCTCTTTTCCGAGGCTGCACATCGAAACCCGCGGAACGCTGCATTTCCCAATTCCAACTCACCTTTTGTGTCAAGACTTGTCCCCTTCAACAAGGACCACGTTCCCGACAACCCTAGGCGCCCTCACTGCGCCCTCACCTGCAGCTGGAAGCCGTAAAGCCGGCCCTTCCGCAAATATCCTGAGCAGTTGGAACCCCCTTCAGACATGTCGGGGCGCAGGGCTTTCCCTTGGTGCATCTGGTCGGCTTGTGACCTCTGGCGAATACCGCTGGATTTGACACATCTTGAACAAACCAGAGGCAGCCCTTGGCGAATCAATCAACTTCAGGCAAGTCTCCAGAGAGCGGCACCTCCAAGCGGTTCAGGACGTCCCCTTGGCCGCGCTGCTGGGGGCTCTGCGCCAAACCGCAGCTGCCCAGGCCCGGCAACGCGGGAAGGTTTGCCACCGAGAGCAGAGGGCAGGTGAGGCCGAAGTGCAGGGGCGCGTCCAGGGCCAAGATGCCGCCGGAGGCGAAGTCCTGGTTTGGTTGAGGGTGTTGGTGGCAAAGGCCCGGGACCTTTAGTCTCTAAGACTCAGAACCCTCAAAGCACAAATCCCTTAAAGAAAGTGGTTGCGGAATAGACTCGTGTCCACCACACGGGTGAGGGGGACTGGGCCGGTGTTAGATTGGTGGCTGTGCTGTGTAGTTCTGTTGTTGCAAAACTCTCCACACGGCCGATCACAAGGCCGCCTCAAAGACTTCTTTGAATCCCTGGCGGCATGGACAAGATTTTGAACTGGGTGCTTGGAACCCACCCCCTTTTGCTTGTTTGCGTGTTCCCGGCAAGCGACCTCCTCCTCAAAAGTACCCTTTGAACGGTGGCGCAAAGCGGAACTTATTTCCTTGGAGGGGTCCTGTCAGTTTACATCCCCTTTTGCATCCACAACATCAATCTTCCTGTTCAAAAGAGGTCTCATCAGATGCCACAGGGTGCATTTTGCTAAAAAGGGCTGTGGACTTCGGAGGTGGGCCAGATAACCCCAAACAAACACCACGACCACGCCGACCACGTCCTGTGACGGCACGAAGAACACGCTGAGGCGGTTGGCTGCTCCCGGCTCGAAAGCGCTGGGCTGCAGTACCGCGGCCTCCGCTCAAAGCGCCACTTGCTGGCGCGATGAGTAGGGAATGTGGTTGAATGAACCCAGGCATTGGTTCCCTTAAAAGAAACCACCGATGGATGGTTTTTTCTTGGGGTCATGCCAATTCTCATTCAAGAGTCATCCTCCAAAAAATTGCACCCCCAAGTGGTGGCTTATTTCTTGGCCGGGGCATCTCCTGGCGTAGGTTTTTAGAGCAACAGCCTGGCTTCCTTAAAGGCAGACGCGCTGGACTCGTCTGCCAGTGGTGGCTTGCAGGGAAAGATCAATCGAGCAGCAGAAGGGCGCCTAACCAATGCTATTTTTGGGAACTGGGCTCTGAAGGCCGGGATTGAACAAAGTCAACGACCCAGACCTCGGGGAAACAAGGCCTCTCTTTTGGTGCTTCGTCTTCAAAAAATGGCTGTCTTCGCTCCTTCAAGCCACTGGAGCGTGCCTTGAAAACCCGTAAAATAGAGCATCCTCACTGCAGCTGCGTCAAAAAGATGGACATTTATTATTGTATATAAAACAAACACACATCTACAATGTATGATATATATATATATACATATACAAACCTGTATACGTGTATATGCTGTAAGTGTGTCACGTATATAATGTGTGAGTGCATTATCGCATTCTACCCAAATGCATGCGAAAAGCCTCAAACTTGGCCAGCACCGGCAGGTCGGCAGTCCAGAGGTCGCCGCTCGGCGCACTGAAGTTCCAGGAGATGCCTCGACCGCAGGCTTGCGAGCAGCTTTCGCAGCCACATACCAGGGTGGCGTTGGTTGATGTCAACTTACTCCTGGGCCTTTGGTGGCGTTGCCTCAATTCAAAGACTCTAACTGGATCGTCAAAGGAGTCGGGAAATCTGCAAGGGCGCTGGGATGTGGCCGTGAAAAACCATGGGTCCTGATTGGTGGGGCCTTCATTGCTTACTTGTGACAAGAAAGGCTGTGCGTTTCAGAGCCCAGGGCTAGGCTGGCCCGGGTTCCTGGGAATATGCTGCTGGCTTAGATTTGCCCATAAGCTCTGCAGGGAGTGTGAGGAAGTTGGCAAAATGGGCTGACATTCCGGACTCAGAACAGCGGCTGGATCGTCACAGCTTGAAGTGCTTCCGCACCACCCAAATCCCCCACCAACTGGTGACCCCGGGCGCCAAAAACATGCCTCGTTGGGTTTGACCCTTTCAGTCCGCACCCACAGAAGGCTTTCAGAGAGGTCCGGCATCCACTCGGCACCTGGGCCCCAGCTTACGCGCCCTTCACCCGAGGCGCCGTAGACCGGCGCCGCAGCCGCCTCCGCGTCGCCGGCGCTGGCGAGGCTCACCGACCAGGCGCCCGCCGCCGACGGCAGGCTGGGGTTCAGCACTTCCAGCGCCAGCAGAAGCGCCTGGAACCATACGGCCCAAACCAAAAAACACTTTTTTGCGCAAGCCTCAAAACGCGAAAAAGCGCACTGCCGGGGTCCCCCTGGTCTGCTTGTTTGGTATTTCACCGCATGCGTTGCATTCCTGGAGCTGCAACCATAGGGCCTAAATGAATATCGTGGAGTTCTTGAGGCATGGCTGGGTCGGTCTTGAAAGCATTGCTTGCCTTCGATCCACAAAGCCTGTTGAATGAATCGCAGTGGTTAGATGCTGGAGTAGCCTTTCCTGTTTTTTGTTTGTTTTAATCACCCGATCTGATTCTTCAATCAACGTTTAGTGGCCTGAATAATCAGAATAAGCTTGTGGGATTTTTTACACCCACTTGTATCATGACTATCGGAAAATAAGGCGTGTCATCATTGTCATCATTTGAGACTTTTGCTGTGGAGGAACTACGTACCTATAGCTGCTAGGAGTTTCTGAGGGACCCCGATCGTGCAATGACATAGCCCAGCAGGACTTGCTTGAAGCGCTCGAGAATGACTGAGCTCAAGCCCCCTAGACCAAAAAAACCAAGGCCTCCCCCTCTAGAAAGATTCTGAAAACCTTCTTTGTGTCTGAGGTTCCGAACTGAGGAGTTCTGAGAACAAGCCGAGGCCTGTCCAGCATAGAGCTTCTGGCCATCTGCAAGCCTTGGCCCCAGGGCGAAGCTGCCACGAGACGTGCAACCCAGGGACACACCGCCCACCAGCACTGGAGAAAATGACCCTTGTAAACCATCCGTTGTGGTTTCCTTCAAGGGGACCCCTGGGTTCATTCCCACATTCCCCACTGAACACCGGGTAATGGTTCAAGCTCTAGTTTCTTACGCCTGTCCGTGGCAAGGGCCAACGCAAAGATGATGGTTTGCTGACAAGCGCATGGTGCTACAAGTTAGGCGTGCAAATTCCAAAGCACATCCCTGCCGCACACATCAGGAACGATCTGTATAGGACATCTTGCAGCAAAGGAAGCACATCTTTCAAAAACATCCAAGGCGCCGGAAGAGGCAAGAGGACCCCACAGGACCTCTCTGCCAAGTTCCCTCCACCAGGTTGCGAGCCACGTCCGGGAAGCCGTCCAAATCCCGGTCCAACAGTTGCAACCTGAACAATTCTGTCACTCACTCATTGTCTAGACCCTACTCCCCTACTCAAGATTACAAAAAGGGTTGAGGACCATCCCGAAACCCCCAAGCCCCCCGCCGTCCACGAAAAAACAAACAAGCTCCTTGAAGGATACCCAAAACTGCCTGCTTCGAGCGCTTTATGGGGGCTTCTATTTCCAGTAAGCCAGGCGGGTGCTTCTCGGTCAGATCCCAGGAGCGTCACCACGTCCCCGTCGAAGGCCGCGGACGCGGAGCGCAGCAGCTCGGCCGTGGGCTCGGGGCCCGGGACCGACTTGCCACCGTCGCAGGCAAAGCCGGGCGGGGGAGTGATCCTGGCGCCACCGGGCCACTTCAAACCAACGCTCAACATCCTGAACCGAAACTAGTACGGGAGCAGGCTACAGCGAAGCTAGGGGAGATTAAATATGTTTCGGCTAAAGCAATTGTGAGTTGGAGGGTGTCACCTTGATGTGGAGGGAAGGGCCTTTGTGAACCACCCAACTCGACTTCCTTGCAGAGAAGCTTCCCTACCAACCAGCAAGTTTTGACCCACTTTTGAGCTGAGCGTGCCGCCCAAGTTGGATCAAGAGGACGCTGTGATCCCAGGGTCAACCATGCAACCAGCAGGTTTCGAGTGCGAGAGGATCTCGAAGGAGACAAAAATGTTTGATTCTTGTCGCTGGTCCTTCTTTAGAAAACCTCACATGCGCAAAAATGTCCTAATGAGATCCCAAATGAGGAGGAGGAGGTGGAGGAGAGGGTGGGTGTCAAGGCTCCCTGGCTCCAATAATCTTATCTTCCCCACATGGGAAAGATTGGGTTGCTACGGATGGAATTCCAGGGTCGCCCCGCTCCCCAAATCATAATTTTCCAGGGGGGGCCACCACCGACCTGTCTGATTCAGCAATACCACAACCTTTCAACTTTGTTTTTCCCATCGAAAGGCTCTCACAAGCTTTTCGCGTTCGTGCCGGCTTCCAGAATGGCGTTGTTTGCCCTCACAACTTATCGACGTCAACAAAATGTTGCACATCAGGAGACAAACAAGCGCGACCGATATGCACCATGAACGCGGATGCCGTAGCTTTTGATTGCTCAGTTCGCGCGAGGGTGGTTGCTAAAGTACAACTGCTGAGTTGGCAATCTTGGTTGGCGAAGACTCTTGCTGAATCGGGGTTGCTGAAGGGACTTTGTGCTTGCTGGCCGTGCCAGCTTGTGTGTCCACCTCGAACGCTGGACTATTTTTTTGACAAGTGCAGCCCGGCTAACCTGGGTTAAACTAGGGAAACCATATGAAACATTTAATAACGAGAAACCCAGGTACAGGAGTGTCAGCATGGGTGAAGCGACCATTTGAGCCAAGAATCTCCAGTGATGCAAGGCTGCCGGTTGTGGCCGCGACCATGATCTGTGCATACCTCAGCTACATCTCATCGTCGGAGCGTCATAACGATCATCAAAATGCAAGACTTTTCCACATCACAGACACAGGGTGCTCTAGGTGGGAATGCTGCTAGCCCTCCTTTGTTAATTGTACCCTCTATTGTACAAACTTTTTTCTAATTCAGGATTCTCTGACTGCTTCAAGGGTCCTTTATTATGGAATTTTGTGTTGCCTCCAAAAAACAAAAAGCGTGGGTTGCCGCGAACTGAAAACCAAAGCCTCAGATTTTTAGTTTTAAAGGGCTCATCCTAAGCTCTCCCCAGCCCAAGGGTTAAGGCCTGAGATCTAGGAAATCCATTTTGCAAGTTTTTCCAAGCCCACCAAATATAACACAACTTCTTCACAAATAAAGTGAGGGCAATCAGTCACACAAAAGGGGGTGCCCACAAGAGCCCCTGACCCTCTTTAGTGCGACTGTTTTGGGGTCCTCTTTAGTATCCAGATGGGTTTTAGGGGTTGCTGACAACTGAAAACCAAAGCCTCAGCCTTTTACTTTTAGAGAGGGGGGCTCATCCTAAGCTCAGCAAATCCATTTTGCAAGTTGTTCCCAATTCTCCAAATTTAAGATAACTTCTTACAAAAAGCTGAGAGCAATCAGTCACACAAAGGGGGTGCCCACGAGATGCCCTGATCCTTTTTAGTGTGACCGTTTTGGAGCCCTCTGTAGTGCCCAACTGGTTTTAGGGGGGTTGCTGAAAACTGAAAAAGCTGGCGTAAGGGGGGGGCTCGTCCTAAGCTCTCCCTAACTCTGTCAAATCGCGCGCGCGACCCGGCAGAGCGTCGTTGAGGTCTGCCGTTGGGGTCTGCCGGCCGCCACAAAAAGCCGCCTCAGCAATCTAAAAAAGTGCGCACTGTAGTGCTTGAAGGCGCAGCCCCAACCGTCGCTCCGGCACCGCAGGCAGCAGAACCAGCTCTGCCCGGGCCGGAACTCTTCCCACCGCGCCGTGCGCAGCCAGCACACGGGTGCAGCCAGCTTTGGTCGGTGCCACGCTGTGGGCTCCGGTGGAATGTCAGTCAAATGCCTGGGGCGTGCCACGCCGGAGGCGGGAGCGTGTCAGCGAAAGCCAGCCCCGCTGCCTGCCACTGCCTGCACCACCGCCAGCCTGGCTTGGTTGCTGGTCAAGGCGGGAGGGTCTGGTGTTACAGGCAGCTCTGTGTCTGGCCTGAAGTCGGTCTCAGCTGCAAAGGTTCTCGATGGCGTCGCGCTCGATCTCAGCCCTCCTCCGCTTGAGCCACGCCGTCCAGGACTCTTTCTCAAGGCGCTAAGGCGCTGGCGATTATGTACCCGGACTGCGTCCAACGTGTCGCGCTCCTTGCCCTTCTGCCCTGCCTTGTCGACGGGCATGCCATGGGCGATGTCGCGGAGGAAGCTGGCCCACCGTTTGGCGTGGCGAAAATGGCCGACGTTCTGGCCATGAAAGGGGCACTGCTCATGGTGCCCTTCTTTGCGCGCACGCCCTAGCACACTGACATGCCTCGGAAGTGTTGAAAGCACTTCCAGCAAAGCCACGTGAACTCCTCAAACACAAGCGCCAACCGCTCGCACTCCTCCTTGTGCTGCCGGGGCCACGCACACAGAACTCTGGACGCTTCTCGACAGTTTTGAAATAGAGGGCGGTCACCGCCAGCCTGCCGGCGTGACTTAGGATGGCACAGAGTCGAAACCGATGGCCAACCAGGGTCAGGCTTGGGTTTGCAAAAAGTGCCGTCACCGAGCAGTTCCCCTGCCAGGAAGGCGTCGTCTGGTAGCACCACATTGCTTGGTTCGTAGCTTGGGCTTGTTGGGACCATGTCCTCCCCACCGTCGAAGACCACATGTCCTTCCTCTGGCGCTGGAGCCACTGGGCCTGCTCTGGAGCCGGAGGAGTGCCGCATCTTCTGCAACTGGAGCAAATGGATGCGGTAGTTTTGCTGGGAACGGGGCAAAGGCAAGCGGAGGCAACTCTTCAGGGAGCGACGCCTGATAGAGCAACAGGTCTTCGTCTGTGTCGCTCTGCCCGGCCACCGCCACGATCAAAAGCAGCCCCCACATCCACGGAAGCATCGCGTCTCTCTTTGTTCCTGGTGACTCAAAACCTGTTTTTTCTTTTGAGCTGGAGGGGCTGTGCAGTCAATCTGCTGACAAGCTCGGGGTACATGATTGACACGAGAAAAAGGCGGGCAGGCAGACCAATTTACCGCGCAACCAACCAGCTCAACCACTCAGCCAACAACCAACCACTGCCAGCAGCCAACAGCCAACCAACGAACAACAACCGAAATCCAGTGAGAGCGACAGCCAGCCAAACCAGCAACAGCCAACAAACAACAACCGACACCCAACAGCAACCAACAGCTAACAGCCAAACAGCCCAACAGCCCAACAGCCCAGCAGTAACCAACAATCAGCAGCCAAAGGCCAACAAACAACAAACAACAGCAGACAGCCAACAACCAACAACCAACAGCCAACAGCCAACAGCCAACACCAACAGCCAACTACCAACCGCCAGCAACCAACAACAACCAGCAGCCAACAGCCCCAGTCAACATCCAACAGCCAGCAGCCAACAGCCAACAGCCAACAACCAACAAACAACCAACAACAGCCGACAGCCAACAGCTGGCAACAAACAGCCAGCAACCAACAGGCAACAGCCAACAGCCAACAACCAACAGCCAACAGCCAACAGCAACACAACCAACAGCCAACAGCCAACAGCCAACAGCCAACAGCCAACTGCCAACTGCCAACAGCTAGCACACAACAACCAACAGCCAACAGCCAGCCACCAGCAGCCAACAACCAACAGATGAAAGAAAAGGAGATATGAAATCTAGACTATTATTATCCTTATGCTTCTGAGTATATTAGTTCATTCACTAGTTAAAAAATGTAGTCATAGTGGCTTAGGATATAATATTCACGATCCCCAAACAATAAAGGCTGCTCCGGGACAACCCCCCTATTAACCAGGCAAGGGTTTATAAATCCGCTCTTCTCTTCCCACTGCTTTGTGCGGAGTGTGGGAGTCCCTTCCGTTCCGCTAAGGCTCTACTTGTTGGTGAATTACTTTGCACGCTTGGCTTCTTGTGCGCCTGCCTGGCGGCCGAGTCCTTCGGCCGGGTCGCAGCAGGTTCCGCTGCCCCGCAAAGGGCTGCGGCCCGCAGTTCTCGCGGCCGCTCACCATGAACCGCGCGGAGCCGGCCGAGGGATCCAGCCGCAACAAGAGGCCCGCGTCCGGGACGTATCTGCAGACACTGGCGGCCCCAGGCCCCAAACATGTCCTTCAAAAAACTCAGACAACAAAAAACAAGAATGGTGGATGTGCTTTTAAAAATTCCTGGAGAACCACAAAGAAAAGGTGGGTGCATGTGTGTGTGTGTGTTGAAACTACGCAGTTTGTTTGGGCATCTTGCACCACCCAACAAACCATCGCCATGTGTCATCGATACATGGCGCCCGCAAAGCCCACTAGATGCCGTCGGTTTCCTTTGTCTCAAGGATGACTTGAAGGGTTGCATAGCTGGCTCTGGCCCTAGGCTAAGCTGACGGTTAGCGTGTGAGTGTGTGAAATCGTGGGGCACAGCTGAGTTCCTCGTGAATCCCAATATTGTACGGCGTTGGTGCACCAATGGGCTCTGCCATGCCCCACCCGGCAGCGCTTTTTATGCGAACAAAACAAGATTGTCATGATTCTCTTTTCCAGCATTGTTGCAGCGCATAGATCTAAGTACAAAGCACCAAACTAGGCCTGACAAGTGGGCAAACAAATATACAAGTAGGGGGTGTGTGCACCCGAACGCCTGCACTCATACCTCAACCTACGGGAGCACAAGTGCTAGCAACACTGCGCACCGCAGGGCCTACACCTAACCTATACCAGCAGATTATAAGTATAATTATACAAGTGAATTGTGTACCTCGTGCGGTACGATGCGGTACGAGTGCAACTCACATGTGCACCTCAAGCCCTCTCCTGAAGGTAAAAAAGCTAGCCCACGCCCCATGTGGCTGTGGGTCCGCAAGCGCCTGGGCTGCGCGCCCGTGGCCGTGGCCACTTCCGCGGCGGCCCGCGTGGGGAAGAAGGCCCCAGAGGCTGCACTCAGGGCCGCCACGAAGGTGTGCGACACCTTCCCAAGTCTTGCTGCTGCTCAGTAGGTAGGGAATTAGAATCTGGGCTGCCCTCAGGTCCTGTAACATTTAGTGTTTTAAATGGAAACTATCACTAAACATTAAAAGGCTAAAAAGCTAAGGGGATGGGTGGGAGCTACCAAGGAATGGGGATGACCCCGATTTAAACCATCCAATCTGGTGGTTTCCTTTAAGAAAACCCCCAGGTTGATGCCCTCATTCCCTGCTGATCACCAGTCAGAAGTTTCAACATGTCCAAACCACCCGTGCTGATAGCTCAAACAAAAATGCCCCAGGCTGGTTGACCAAAGCTGGCCCATCCTGATGACCATTTTGGCACTTCAGAGGGGGGATTCAATTTGGAGGAAGTGGTCCTAAAGCCAGCTTTCCACAGCCAAACAAAAACTGGGCCGAAGCTACCTTTTTGGGGGAGGCTTCTTCCCCACTTGGATCACACATGCGTGGGGGATTCATATGGCCATTGAGATTTCAACTCTCAAACTCAGCCAAGAGAAACATTTCACCGTTGACCGCAACATTTTGGCAAAGAGAAATACCCCAAAGCCAGGCTCAAAGGACCCAGCCTGGTCCAGGATGGGATCCATGTCATCCGGCAGCTGCAGCTTCAGGATGGCATACCGCTCCTCGCACGAACTGTGGTGAGTTGCAGGCACGCATGTGAGCATGCATCTGGGATTTTGCAGAACCAGCATTGCAGTGGTACACTCGTAGGTGCTCACATGTGCTTATATGTTCACATTCCAGTGCAGTGCTAGTCAGCTAGAAATTGGGCACTTGAATCCAGACTCTACTAAAGCTCTTCAACTAGCTGCCAGCAGAGCCCGACCCCATCCAATCATCCCCCTCCCTGCTTCATGATTAAATTTCGGCCCTCCAGCTTTCCAATTGCAACAGCAATTCACATTCCCAAGATCCGACAACATCATCCCATGCGGGGGGGGGGGGGGGGGCCAAACTTCGTCAATACTAAAGGGATGCTGAGTTCATTGAAATCTAAAATACTCAGCAACACTGCCTCAACTGACAGGTATTGAGAGAATACTGAATATTGCCTGGATTCTACTGTAGATGTGTGTTTGATTATTGTGTGTGTAGTTGGTCTCATGTTCAACCCTGCTTCAAGATGGAAACACGATGCGTCGCAAATTCTCTTACAGATTATATCCAAAATCATTCTCCAATCAGCTGATCAAGATGATATCTTTCACTCGCCAAACCGGGCCCGGACCTGGGCATCGGCCCCTTACTCGCTTCTCGAGGGGACTGGCCCCAAAATGTCCAAACTTTTTATTTACCTCTAACATTGTCTTCCCAAAAAGTTGAAAAAGTTCGGGTCCTCAGGAAGTGAGAACCGATCTTCGCCGCTTCGCCTTCTCGTTGGCGAAGACCCCCGGCAGCACGCGCTCCACGGCGCAGCCAGCGGAGGTCCCGCAGCTTCCGCCCGAGGACACGCAGCCGGCGGAAGGCGAGGCGCAGCTTGGGCCGAGGTTCCACTGGGTGAAGGGCGCCAGGAAGAGCCGCAGGGTCCTTAGGGTTCACCAGCGCTTCGAAATTCAATCCAATCCGAAAGCACAACGTGCGGCCAACAACCAAACCGTTCTCTTCAACCATTCTCTTCATCGTTCGCTCCAAAAACCGGATCCGTTTTCCCTGGGATTCCGGAGGTTTTCTGGAAAGAAGGATCCCTGAAAAGAATGGGGAAGGTACCCCTAGATATACGGCTTTTGGGTTGCCAAGGAGGAGGGGTTGTCTTGGATCACATGTTTGAAATGCCTTCCACTCCCCTCCAACAGCCAAAGAAAAAATATGCACAAACCCCTAGTGGCTATGTGTAGCCGAAAGGTGATGTCTATAGCCACAGGTAGACCAGAAAAGGGACGCCTGAAACCTGATGAGACCAAACTATGCTTATTGTAGGGGTACCTTCCCCTCCTTATTTCTAGAAAACCTCCGGAAACCAAGGGAAAATAGCTGGTTCTTGAAAAGAACGATGGTTGGAAAGAATGGGGAATCAACCCCTAGACTTATAGTACGGATCCTGAAGTTTCCGTCCTGTCTAGCCATCATTTCTCATCCAACAGGGCAAACCCAGCAATTAGAGGAACTTGTTGGACCCACCTACCATGTGGGGAGCCCTCCCTTTTCACCCGGGTTTCAAAGAGAAGCAACATCAAAAAGCACAATTCTGGGGTGGCCCTACCCTGACACATACCCATTTGGCCATGTGTCAAAATCCCATGCCGGCCCATACCCCCAGGAACATCCCAATCCCCACCAAATAGGTTCTAAAATGGGTGGTGAATTCACCTACCAACCAAAATGGAGTCCCAAAACAGTTTTTTTCAGGGACGCCTCCCCCCCCCCACTCGCCAAAGGCGCGTGCCCGGCTGTACCGCCGCGTTCTGCGCCGATGTGCGGAGCCGCAGCTCGGAGGTCACTTCGGAGGTTTCAAGGGCGGCCTGGAAGCCGCTGGCGCCCGGCGCCACCGTGCCGGTCTCCTCAGAAAACGGGGGAAATGGGGCGAAGACTCGGCCCAACGACAATGTCAGACCTGGTAGCTCCGCAAGGCTCCCTGTTTACAGGCAAATTTGGATTTCCCCAGCCCATGGGGTGGCGAAATCCCCTCTTGCGAACAAAACTTGAAGGCCCCGCCCCCCTCAAATGAAACTGCATGCGGCGGTCTTCAGGTACCCTTCAACAATCATGGCAGCTCACGGTCGGAAGCAAAAAACACAGACCCACCGCCCTGCCCTCAAAAGAAGGAGCATGGATAGTTTATTTCTTTGCAACCTCCGGGCACCGCTTTTTAGGGTTAGGTCTGCAAAATGGCCCCGTCCATGGCATAAGCTGCGCCTGCCCCCCAACCCCAACAGATTCAATATCTCACTTGAAGGTGAGTATCTCGGTTGGGCCCTTCAAGCTTTCTTTGTTGAAGGGCGTTGGCCCCTTTGTGGCTTGGGTTAGGGATCATAGGTTGACTTGCCGGTACCTGGCCCACCCATTTAGGCCCACTGATGCGATTCAAGCAGCACCCCACCTCCACCTCCCCGCCCTCTTTGGCGTCCCCCAGGTCTCCTCGAAGCCCACGGCGCCGCGCTCGTAGACCTGGTACCTCTCGCAGTCCCCGTGACCAAAGGAGCAGCCCACCTCCAGCTCCAAAACCTCCGAGCCAGCACTCAGGCCCGAGGCTGCAGCCTGAAGGAAGGTGGGGGTGCAATGGGGCGCTTCCTGGTTGGCTTCCCTTCGAAACCGCCCAAAAAGGAGTGCACCAGTCAGTTTGAGGCCCCCTGCACCCTGGTGTCTGTTTCTGATCCGTGGCTTTCCTTTTCGGACAGTGCTTGGATGGCCGAGAAAGTGCAAGGATCTATAGAACCCACAGCTGGAGCATCCAAGATGGAGGGGCCCTGGCTACCCGGTTGATATGGTCGACTGTTGACCACTAGTTTTGTAGCAACAGCGATGCACCCATGATAGCCACGTGGGAACAGCTGGGGCTCGTCCACAGGTCCAGAAGAGGCTGGTCATTCGCGGGGCCCAAATTTGAAGGGCAGACTGAGAACCCAGAGGGACCATGTAAGGCAACCCTGGCCTTGACATGAAAAAATCAGCCAAAAGCCGCCAACACCAAAGCCGTGGCAGCCGGAATCCCGAGGCAAAAGGAGTCAAAAGCGTGCAAGGATTCATCCGCTTTGCAGGGCAAGTCGCGGCACCTTGGCATGGCCGAGTCCCAGCAAGCGCCCCTCAGGCCCTGATATGCTTGCCCAGCGAAAGTAAAGAGGCTTCCTGTTCAAAGATTCCATGGGGGGTCCCCAAAGTGGGCCATTTCGTCAACTTTGCGCTCCTCCAGGACCATCTGGTAGCTGCAAGAGCCCTCTGGGCACACACTCCGCAGCCCGTTCAGCCGCTCAAAGAGGATGAAGAGCTCTCTCCTGAGGAAAGAGGAATGAGGGAGCCGAGTTGGGGAGTTCTGCTGACTTTTGCCAACAAGCCTCGGATTTCAGAGGCTTAGCAAAGCAAACAAAATTCAAGGCTTTGGCCAGTGTCCCGCTTGCTTCACGAGCTGAACATGATCTGAGACATGTCAGGCACTTCCCAAGGACAAAATTATTCATACGGTGATACTGGAAGGAACTCCTTCCCAAAGCCTACTTGCTCCCGGCAAAGGGAGCTCCTGACTGAAGAAGGAAGTCTGACATCCTTCCAAAATGAACTCTTCAGGCCCAGAATTTGAGAACCCCACAGCCCTGCAGTCTGGCGGCTGGCTGGACTCCCCATTCGCACCCAAGTCCTCCAGCCAGCAACCTCAACCAAGGCTCCAGCCCCATGAAAAGCAATCCGTGGATCCAGATCCACAAGCCCTGCCTTCGACCCTGCCCCTCAGTCTGTGCAGCCCGAAGTGCTGAAATTTACGGTTTGGATTGGTGGCGTCCCATTTGTGTTGCACCTGTGTTACATTGCAAGGGGCAAGGTGGAGTCTTGTGAGAGCGCTCACCCATATGATGAGAGCCTCCCTTGCCGCGACCCTCATGGACCTGCACAATCGAAATCTTCAGCCACATGTTCAACTGCCTGTGCCAGTGTCTGCGGTTCTTTTTGGGGATCACCTCACTGCGGTTTCGCAAGTGGGATGGTATCCCTTCCAGTCCTTTTAAAACTGGTACCCCTTCTCCCGTCCTTTTTCAGCCTCTTTCACAACTCCCGAAAGGAAAAAGCCGTGTTGCGGCTGAAGAGTGGCTCGCCGGTCCGTCGCCGGTTCCCTTTGGCCGCCAAAAACAAACAAAAAACAGCACACCAAACCAAGTGGTTCAAGTCACCTTCCTCCCCATCGCCCCCCAGGCGTCATGGAGGCTGCTCGTCCCCCTTTGCCCGTTTTTTCCAAGGCGCCCACAGGCACTGGGAACCCCCCTGGCGCGTCCGACCAAAGCTCCCGGAAAAGCCGGCCGCACGCCAGCGGGCTCTGCTGCGTGCTGTTGGAGGTGGGCTTCAGGATGTCTGGCGGCATTCGGTGGCGCGGGGAAAAAGCAAAAGCCTTGGGGGGAACAACCTAGTAACTTGGGGTTTGGTGGCTTGGGCTTTTAGGGTTTAGCGTTTTGGTGACTTGAAGCCCCTTTCCAAGGATCCTGAAAGTAGACAGGAGGGCGTTGCAGTCGCTGCATGGGAAATCCCTGTTTTCCAAGGATGGGTTTTGGAGCTTGTTCAGTGCAATATGTTTCATGAAATCCCGATTGTCCAATGATCCGAGCAGTAGACAGGAGCTTGTTCATTAGGAGCTTTTGCATTAACATCTCGGTTTGTCTACGATCCAAGAAGTAGACACGGCAATTCAAGTTGCCAACGGCAAGGTCAGGCTCAGAAACGCCGGCGGGGAAGGTTCACGAAAGGGTGGCCCTTTTCGGCTTGACAAAAAGGCAGACAAAGGCGAACCCGGACGCGCCTGTGTTCAGGAAGCGTAGCACCAGCAGCATTTGACCAGAGGAAAGTCCTCAAAATTCGGAAGGCTGAAAGAAAGGGCAAATCGAAAGGAAACCGATTCTCGGTAGGGCCCCAATTCCTCATTCGGGGCGCACCAAGCTCAAGCTCGCAAGTCTCCCAGCATGAGTCCATCGGTCTGGTCGGCTCTTGACCCACACTTCAGCAAAAAACAAACCTCAGTTCTGTAAAGCCTGAGAAGGTTGAAAGCCGGCTCTTTCTGCCGTTTTGTTGACTGCTGTCCCTTTTGAGTAAAGGTGTTAAGAGGTTCTGAAAATTACTCTTGGGTCACGGTGGCTCCCTTCTTAACCTCGTCTTAAACTTCGGACCGAGCTCTCCCGCCAAACCTGGAACACCCAAGGTGTCGCCTGAGTGAAGCTGGCCAAAGCTGCAAGCAAAGTGCCAAGACAGGGGGCCCAAGAAATGATGGTGTTGATGTTGGTTTCCCTTTAAACCAAGGTGAAAACATGACCCAACTCAACTTTTAGTCATTTGTTGTTGCCATCACCTCTTCTCGTCACTCCGACCCACAAAGGGAAACCTGCTTTCCATCTCTTGGAAATCAAGGGTGATGCCTTTAGGACCTCCAAAAGTGATGAGAAAAGCGAAAGGTTCAAAAGTTCGGCCTCAAAGTGGGGAACACCTCATCTAATGATGGGGGAGCAACTGGGCAATCTAAGCTTCGTATTCGACAGGGAAGACTTAAGTATCGTTGGCCTCTTGGCTCCCCCACTGCCTATGACCAGTCAAGCCAAGTGGCCATGGGTCAAAATCCCGTACCCCCAGTCAAACATCAACCAATCCCCACTAAAATCCCGATTGAAATGGGTGGTGAATTCACCTACCAAAATGGGATCCCATTGGTCTTGACAACCACGGCCGTGTCTTTTGTGTTCGATCTCCCTCGCACGAGGCGCGGTACTCCGGCACCGCCCGGGACGGCACCTGGGATGTGACAAACCGCTCAGCCTCCCGAGGTGTTTTTCCCAACAATCAAGGGAGACAACCGAAGGCTGGGGAGGGGGGGGGGTCGGGGGAGGGGTTATTTAGAAACGGTTCATCGAGCCTTCCCGGGGGTTCCGACCAAAGTTCTGAGAAGCATTTCCTGGGCTTGTTTTGCCTACCATCGTTCAGGCAAACGGCAAAGATGTCAGACTTTAAGGAGCTGTTGCCCCAGTCAAGGAATCAACCCCTCGAACACCGACCGAGATTTTGGCTTTAGCCCTCCCATGAATTCACATGGAACCTGATGTTCGGGACCCGGCCCCTTTAAAAGGAAAATGGTCTTCGATCCAAGACCTCCCGAAGGTCAGAAAATGGTGGAGGGTAGAACTCACCTGAGGTGATCGGCCAGCAAAAGTTCACACTTTTTGTTTACCCCGAAAATGTCCCCCAAAAAGCTTCAAGTCACGGAACTCCGGATGAGTTTAAACTCCAAGTAATGTTGACCCAGGATTTATAAACCCGTCCCATTATTAGGGGGGCAATCGCTCCAAAAGTGGTCTGAATCCCCACTAAAAGGGGACACTGCCCGATCAAAATGAAACCAGGGGCTTATTAATCCGTGGTTAACATCAGAGGCTCCAAGTACCTGAGCATGGCTTCTGGGGGTAAAAAGGGGTCCAAGTGCCTCCTTGGAATGTAACCGGGGTTAACATTGAGATCCCAACCGCCGGCCCGGGGCCCAGCCGCAAAGGAGATGAGGATCGGCGCCTCCTCGCCGTCCCCGCGGGCTGTGAGCGCCACCCGCGCACCTCAGCCGCTGGCTCAGCGGCTGAGCGCTTGGAACTTGGGGTGCGCCAAGATCCGAAGCCCCAAGGAACACACGTGGCCTTGTCTTTTTTGGTGAGGTAAACCTTGAATGGTATGGTTTACAAGGGGACAAATGAAGGACACCTCACAAGCTGGTACTCGCGGATGCAGTGTGCGACATTTTGACTTGGCTTGTATTTGTTCTCCTCTAAAGCCAATGGGTTGCTTGCACGAGAGGTTTTCATTGTGGTCTCCATTGGGTTCCCTTTTTAAGGTCCAACTCAAAAGCTGTTGTCGCATTGCCGTAGCGTTTCCGTCACCTTTCCATCGTGTGGCTGACGCACGGATGTCGCATGGGCCCACTTTGCTGTCACGCGATTTGTACGGGCCACCCCTTTCCATGGTGGTGTTGGCGGGTTTGCCTTGTTGCTCTTGGGGTGGACTGGTGGACTTCCCCGTTCAAGCAGTGCAGCGGCCTGACACGCAAATAGCGGGCCACATTATCACAGGCGACAACAAACGTGCGGATGATCACATGTCGCTGAGAAAGTCGACTCTGAGAGCCCTAGGCAACCAAACGAAGTGGGCCGTGCGTAATTTGAACGCAGTGGCATCAAAACCTGGCAAAATGCCGCTTAGAAAGTCTGCCAGATGCCTGGGAGAGTGGGCTCCAAAAAATCGAGAATTTGGCATCCGCTGTGTGGTCCCATGCACAAGAAAGAAACGAAGTTGCAACTTCTTCGCACCGCCTTCGCAAGTCTGGCAAATCAAGCAGACCCGATCTCTGGGAACAAACTACTTGACTCATGATAAGTGGGATGTCGTAGTTCATGTCCGTCCCTTCCCGGCCCATGATCCAATCTACCATCAGCCCAATTGAAGCCATACAGCGCATAGATCGTACAATTCAGTCCTGGGAGGAAATGCCACGAGGTGAGATAAATTATCAACCTACGACATGAAACCAACCATGAAACCAGAAGCCATTCACGGGGATGAAGCCAGCCAACAAAGTGGGGTGCAGGTGGCGGGTGCTGTTTAGACAACGTGGCAGCTTGCTTGCGGCTGAATGCTCCGACAGACTAGAAATCAGTCAGCACTAAAAACAAAAAACACAACAACACATCCCACGTGAGTCGTGGTGAGTAATGTCCACGTAGGATTAACAAATGCACCTGTAATAAAGACAAATGGGGGGCCCAAAATAATTAATAAATGCACCTAGAATAAAGACAAGCACCCGCCACCCCTGCCCATTCTTATTTAGAAAAAACAAAAATCAAAAAAAGAAAAAGGAGAGGAAGGAGAGGAAGGAGAGGAGAGATAGCCAGGCAAATTCAAAAACAATCCCAGGTGATGCTGGTGAAGCTTGCTGCTTTCTTCCCAAATCCAAACTGCAGACCTTCCCCAAACTCAAGTTTCCTTACATGTCTCTTGTTTAAAAACTGCCCACCATCAAACCCACAAAGGGGGTAGTACTTCAGCCCCCCAAATTTTAAGCCCAAGACTTTATTCCAGGGGCCCCTATAATAAAGTCTTGATGCATTGGCCCCCCTGAAAAATGCAACTCCCTAATTGCAGTTACCTCTTAGCTAACCAACTGGCCAAATTCAAAAACAATCCAAGGTGATGCTGGTGAAGCTTGCTTCTTTCTTCCCAAAATCCAAACTGCAGACCTTCCCCAAACCCAAGTTTCCTTACATGTCTCTTGTTTAAAAACTGCCCACCGTCAAACCCACAAAGGGGGTAGCAAATTTTAAGCGGCGAGACTTTATTCCAGGGGCCCCTACAATAAAGTCTTGATGCATTGGCCCCCCTGAAAAATGCAACTCCCGAACTGCAGTTACCTCTTAGGAAGCTCGAAAGGAAGCTCCAGCAATACTAAATCAAATGGAAACTCAGTTCCAAATCTCAAAAGGAAGCTCCAGCAATACTAAATCAAATGGAAACTCAAGTCTGCCAATACTAAATCAAATGGAAACACCTTCCAAATCTCAAAAGGAAGCTCCAGCAATACTAAATCAAATGGAAACTCAGTTCCAAATCTCAAAAGGAAGCTCCAGCAATACTAAATCAAATGGAAACTCAAGTCTGCCAATACTAAATCAAATGGAAACTCACTTGAACTGGATCTCAAGATGCTATTCCAGATGCCCCCATCGTTGGGGGGGGGGGGGGACCCCCCTTTACTAATCCCGATTGGACATTAGCTGTGTTTGGCAACGTGCCTTCCCTGACAACTCTGATGCCGCCAAAGTTGGACCACAAATGCTGCTGGGCGAAAACATTGCATAATTCTCTTGTTGCAGGAAAACGATGACTTTGAGTGGGAGAACAAACGACCAGTCCCGAAATGCGGGGGGAGGGGGGTTGGCTGAACCGGATAGGGTTGCATTTCAACTTTCTCGAGTCTCATGAAGTCCACCACCATGGGCCCAAAATAGCGGCCCAAATTGGAGGCCACTAACAACGTCTGCTCTCGGAACCGTAGAAACATCCCCCACATGCTGAAGAAGCCCGACTGCCAAGTTGGCGCAAACTCAGACATCACCTGAAGCCACCGAGGCTTGCCCTCAAGTCGAGGCACCTAGCAACTCAGGAGGATCCGTGAAACTCACCGTGCCAGCGCTGCCGTAGAAGTTGTACTCACCGTCATCGTTGGGCGCCCAGCAGACCTTGCAGGCTTGAGGCTTCACACAGTGCGCCGGCGCGCCAACACAAAAGCCCTCAGTGTTGCTCTCCCGCACGGCTGCGATTTGACCCGGAACCCAAAAAACATGTTTACCATCTATGCCGTGCTCATGTGGGGCCTTGCACCACGGGACGAGCGAAACAAGCGAAACAAGTCTCCGTCCAAGGGGCTGGGCGGTCAGTGAGGAGACTGTCCACTTTGAGCTCCTCCTGGGAGTTCAAAGTGTTGCTGCGGTACCACTGCAGGCCGGAGGCGAAGGAGAACGCGGGGATAGAGTCCTTAAAGCTGGGAGCAAACGTGCCAAAGCACGCGGCCCTTGAGATGGCGACGTGGACGTGTTCCAAAGCCGTGGCAAGCCTCTAGGTGTGACTTCCAGACAAAGAACCTTCTACGGCTGAATGCTCAGAAGGCGCCAAGTGCCTCCAGTTGTCCGCGGCCTGGTGGTCACTTGGGCCTGCCTCCTCTCCACTCTCTCGTGTCCCATGCGAACATTACATCATGAAAAAAAGCGAAGCACGTTGGGTCACTTTGCTTTTCTCCAACCCAGCTGAGGCGGCCTATCACAGACTTCGCTGGGAAAAACCTTTCCAGGACTCCCCCGATCCCCCACTCCCCCGTTCTCGTCGCCCTTGCCTTCACCAGGGGGCGAAGCTTTACCCAAGTCAACGCCCTCAAAACCGCCAAACCCCATGGGAGTCAAGGCGCCTGGGGCCAACCCACCGGGATCCGCACCTTGGAAGCGCCAAAGCCCCCATCCTCCACCAGCTCCACGTGGTGCCAGTATCGCAGGAAGGTCTTGCTGACGTCGTCCTGGCGGAGTACGGGGAGGGTGGGGCTTCCGTTGAATGTCTCCTTGCTACAAATACAACTCGCACCTTAAATTGACCTCAAAAGGTGATGCTTAAAAAACTAGCAGAATGGTAATCCGCAGAAAGAGGCTTCTGGGGGACATCTCAACCATTCCAACCACGGATAAAACCTCCGGATCCTGGATGCTTGCTCCCCTGGATTCATAGTGGGAACCTGGAACACAGTGATCTCGCTCTGCTTCAGCGATACTTTCCAGGACGCCGGAAACTAGAGATCCCAACACGACAAACGACAGCCATTGGCTAGCTTAACTTCTCGTAGGTACCAAGTTTTCATGTCAACCACATGGATGCCCCAAGTAGCAAAACCCCTGACTCCTAGGCCTCCGAACTGTTCAGGGCTTCGCCTTCCGCTGCATCTCTTCCTCCACGCCCTTTTGCGCCGGGAACCCCCGAGCGCTGGAGGCGACAAGGCCCATTTCTCCGGGCTCCCTCTTGGGACGTGCGCCCGGTCTATCCCCGAAGCGGTCAGCCTGCTATGGACTGGGCAAATGTGGGTGCGACTTAGAATAGGGTGGCGTCCCTTTGTGATTCCTTCAGTTTGAAACAAGTCCCCAGTCCCAAACGGGTACCCTGAAAACAAGACATAAGCGGCCATGCATCTCCAAAGGGACTGTTAAGTCTTTGGTGCACGTGATGAAACTCACCTAAATGATATGCACCAAAGGGCATATAATTAAAATGTGGACCCACAACGCAACAAAGAGTACCCTCAGGAAAAAGAAGAAAAGAAACACTCCCATCTCCCCCGGTCCTGGAATTGGCCCGTGCCGGCCAGCCGCATGGCGTCGAAACGCTGGGTGGCCGACATGCTGGCCAGCGGCTGCCCGTTCACCCTGAGATGTGCCAAATTGGGCGGAAGGGGGGGCTGGAAAAAAGAACAAAGAAGCAAATACCCACCCCCTTTTCCTTTAATAAACCTAAAAAGAATCATGAGCAATTCAGTAAACCTTTGTAACCTGAAACCTTAGAGCTCAGTGTCCGGATGCAGTTGGGCTCGATGTAGATGGCGTCCCCGTTCTGCAGGTCCACCGGGGCTGTGAAGGTCAAAATGCTCGAGGAGGCCGACTCCACTTGGATGCCGGCGAGGTTCACGCCTCGAGGACCCAATTGCAACTTTCGAGGGTCTGTGATGGGTTACTTCCCACATCAGGTGCCTATGCATACATGCATACATTCGCCTAAGTGAGTATATGTCTATATGTATACATATATATATATATATATATATATCTATGTGGGTGTGTGTCATAGCTAGCCATTGGCTAGAATACCGACACACACACAAACACCCACACACACATATATATATATACATATATATATATATGTATATATGTTTATACACGCATGTGTATATATATATACATATATATATATATATGCACCTTTTGCGTACCATGAGCCGCTTATATGCAGGAACTTCGGCTCTTGGCTGGCGCTTCGGCAGTGGATTTGGGGATCTCTTGGTGCTCATGTCCGAGCCCGGTGGTGCGAGCAAAGACTTGGTCGGGAGCGCTGGGGATGCTAGCGCGCCAATCGGCATACAGCATTCTGTCTTGTTTACACTTCTGGCATTGCAGGTGTACAGGCGGTCATCGGCAAATCAGGGTCGGGGTGACTGCGTGCATTCCGATTTCGCTTGCATGTCGCGATGCTACATCGAGAACCTCCAAGTAGCCGAATGACTCATGCTCAACGTTGGTGTAGTAGGGGGGGTATGTGTCAGCTTTGAACTGGAACCACCCTGTTTAAAGCCACCCCTTGCTCACGCACAGGCCTTCACTCCTGCACGAAAACACATGGATCTCTCAATGCAAAACCCTCTCGCAGGACATGCATCGCGTTGCCCTTTGCAACAGCTTGGTCCAAACAGGGCTCAAAAGATTCCTCCAAAAACAACCTGCTTTCAAGGGCATCAACCTTCTTAGCTGGCCAAGGTGGTGCAACGCATCCTCGCGACCCGTAACCCGAACGCGGAGCCCACGCTCTCCGGTATAAGGGCGCCTGAGCGCAAGTTGTCGGCCAGCTGCACGTTCAAGAGCTCGGTGGCCGACGCGAGGCCGCACGCCACTGAGGAGTTGATACCGAAAGGGCACCCAACCTGCGCGGTTTCGCAACGCCGAGAGGAAAGAAAAAAAAAGGCCAAGACATGCTGGTGCTTTGGTTGACCCGTAGAATTAGGGAAAACAGGAGACTTGCTGGACTTGCTTGCCTTTCTCGCAAGCAAAACCATGGAGAGGGAGGGCCATCACCTATCAAACCATATCAAACCCTTAGGGAGGCCTTGTTAGCGGCTTACCCTTGGCTAGTCCCCCCGAATGGCCCCCCTCTGGAGGTCCATGCCGCCTCCCTCCCGCGCCTTCACCTCCCGAGTGCCCTGCGGCGCGTAGGGCGTGAAGACGCTGCCCTCGCAGCTGTCGGCGGCGAGGCGCAGCTTGTCCTCCACGTGGAAGCCCCAGCCTGCCGAAATCGGGTGCGGCAAAGGTGTTTGGGCCTGGGAACGGGTGGGTTGGGTGGGTTGGGTGGGTTGGGTGGGTTGGGTGGGTTGGGTGGGTTGGGTCGCGGGGAGACGAGGTGAAACCGAAGGCAAAAGAGGGCGTCGAATCCGACTCGACCTACGCGCAACCCAAGCCTCGATTGCGGCCGAGGGCCCTTCGTTCTTTCAGGACTCAAGGAGGGGCGCTAGCTGTGGGGCCTTTGCACTAGCCACACGTTTGAGGCCCAAATAGCCATCCAACTATAAGTTGACTACAAGCAGCAACACTTTGCACTCAGAGTGAAACTATCTTGCTCCTCAGTAGAACAACACACGCCTGCCAAAGAGATTCCAAAACAAAAGGCATGTCCCCCCTCAAGGCCATACAACTTTGAAGCCCATGTTCAGGCTCCGGGTTATATAGCACCGTGCTTGCCAGAGATCGCACGTGCTTGCACAGTCTTGATAAAAATTCGTCCCAAATTTGTATATATGCTCACGCCCCAAATCCCAAAATACTTCTGCCACAATTTCAACCCGAAACCCAAAAACACCAGCAGAACCATCAGAAACACCAACACAACTAGGAAAAACTTAAACAACGCGCAATACCTGCGTTCCACTGCAAAAGTAATTCAATTGAAACAACACATACATCGTCTGACACAACTGAAAGCAAAAACTGATCAAACATGAAAAGCTGCCAAGCGCAGTCAAGGTGGCTGAAAGCCCCCGCCTTAACGCTACATCTCCCAAGTCCCTTGACTCCATCTACCCTGGCTGGCAGATGAAAAAGTGGCTGACGACAAGGGGCACTTTTTGAGGGCACCACCCCCCAAAACTAATTCTACGCCATGCTGACATATTTTGGCAGAGGAACAAAATAACCCGACAAAGCACCAGTCTTTTGCCGGAATCCTCTTTGGGGGGACCCCCTCTCTGGGTTCCATGTCGCCCCGCAGGATGGCATCCCCATCCGCCTTGGACATCTCGCAGCGCCACGATGCGCTTTGTGGGGAGCACCCACGTCTGGCCACCTCAGCCGCAGGACAAAGCAGCGGCCATCACCGGGGTTGGGCCAACCCTAACCGCTTGTTGAAACGTGGCTTCTTGCAATATTTTGCGAACTAACTCCTGGTCCCCCTTTCCTTGGTTGCTGTTGACCCCAATGCAAAAAGCTTAACTTTTGTGGGCTTAATGGAAAAACCAACCCAATAGCTCTCAAGTTTCAAGGGGACAGGGTCTTGTTGAAAGAAATGAGCTCCAACAGCTCCAGCTTGGAGCTGGACCCTCGAAACGATTCTGACCGTGGCTCTTCTGGGTCGGCCCTCTTTATGGAGGCCGAAAGGCAGTGCGCATGTGAAGCCCTCCAGAACAGATGCAATACCCAGGCGCGCCCAGCAGTTCTTCTTCCTCAAGTAAGGAACCCCTCCATAGGATTTATTCCTTTTGCAAGAAAAGCAACAGGCAGTCGCCCCAAAGATCAGCCGTGGGAGGTTGATAGGACCATAGGAGCCCCATAGCCGCGACCTGACCCCGCCGAAATCCGCCGCGCCTCGAGGCCCTCGAAGCTGCAAGAGCCCCACATAGAGCCTGTCGCGCGGTGTGCGGCACGCCGGGCGGTCGGCCAAACGCCGGGGGATGGGACTGTGGGGCGTGGGTCAATTCTGGGGTCCGAGTGGAGGCAGCGAAAAGCCCCAAAGAACCAAAAATTTGCAAAAGCAACTGGCATCAACTGGCAGAAGGAAGGATTGATTGCGAACCCGGGCAAGGGGATCAACTTTCGGCTTGAGGGCAGAAGCTATAACCCTAGTTGGTACATTGCGGAAATGGTTGGCCTTGTTCGGTGCGTTCTAAGGCAAGTGATCCCGAGCCTTGGAGGTGCCTTGAAGCACAACCATCTGCAACTGTTTTCTCAGAGGCTTCGCATAGGTAACAACAAGCTCACACATCAATCTGACCAAACAAACCCCAAGCCCAAGCAGGCCACTCTCCAAATCCGTGGGAAAAGTCGTACATCCATTTTTACTCCTGGGCTGTTTAGAATGGAGGCTTGGCCAATCCCAAACGCAACCCAAGGGAAGGATCTTCAGCCCAAAGGCCACGGCCCGAGTCTTCGGGGGCCCCGCCAGCTCCCGCTGCAGTCCGCGAGCCCGCAGTAGCACACTGCCACAGTACCGGCCTAGCGACGCGAGAGGCTGGGGGCCGATGCATTCATGTGCATATGCATATGGTTCTGCATGTTGCTATGTCGTTGTGTAAGTACATATGGGTAGATATCTATACTATATACTTGTGCCGAGACATATGTATGCATGCATGCATGTGCGTGCGTGCGCGAAAACACCAACAAGTAGAATGGCGTGAATTTCCCACTAGGATCGCTCTCCTAACTAACATTTGATACATCATTCCATTTGTCTGGGTTGGTCATATACGCGATAGGGGACCAACTGCATATGGGCATGATTCTCAGGGACGCTTGGACATCGTTTAGGTGGAGATAACAAGGTCCACCAACCTTTGTGGAGGTGATTCCCAGCCATGTTTCAAAATAGGGGAACCCCCAAAGCATGACGGCGTTCCTTTTCATTCTGTGGATGGACGAAATCCTGAACAACTTTGAAACAATAGCAAACCATTGCTTGTTGGTATTTACAGGCGAAGCATCACCCCAGGGACTTTTTAGGTGGTGCAGGATTTCGTCCATCCACAGTTTCACGTACAACCAAGATGAACATGGCATCATATCCCACCCTCGACTCATCGTATTAAATCCGCCTGCATCTGGAGCTCGCCGAAGGCGAGGAAGCGGCTCGGCGCCGCGTTGGTGGCCGCCCCACTGTGCGCCTAGGGGGGCGAAATAGTCACATCACGGTGAGTTGGTAGACGGCACAACTCCAGTGGATCTGGGTCAGTATGTTGGGGATGATTGAGTTAACATGTGGAATTTCGCCATCTGCGTTCCAACTGTGGAATGGGCTTGGTGGGGTCTTTAAAACCGAATGAGGTCATAATCAGAGTAATGAATAAAACGAACAAAAAACAAAAAACATGCAACCCCCCCCCCCCACAACTGCTTTTTCCAGGCGAGGCACCACCAACTCCTCCCCCTGACAGTGCTGGTGCAAGGCGGCCAGCTGTGCCTCGCCCTTGGTCCTTGGCCCATGCCATGTGCCAAATGTTCACCTAAAACCAGGTTTTCCAGTTTTTTTTAGGTTTGTTTTCTTTGCTCCGGTCGCTGGTTTCTTGGACAGGTTCCCTGCATTTCCCAACTCAAATGATCACTGAGGGAAACTCGCTTTAAGTTTCACTAAGGCCGAGGATGACTACAACGAAACCAACCCTATGACAAAATCCCTCGGCTGGCTCCTGGCTAATTCCCTCCAAGCCGCTTGACCTCATACCGGTCCGCCAGTGTGTCGCCCTCAGGCGTCACCTGGCGCCATGCTTGAGAGGTGTGCGGCCCACCCAAACCTGCCATGGCCAGAGGGAATGGGTGGGGGTGGCTTTATTTGGTCAATTTGGATTGGGTGACTGCAGGCCTGGGATCAGAATCAAAACGCTGGCAGCTAACTTGTGGCAGTATAAGCAGAGGTGGCCTGGCTTCACTCGGAGGCTACCGGCGCCAACCATCGTATACCTGATGCCACTGGACACAATGGCCCCAGGCCAGGGGGGGCAGGCATGGTGGAAGTTAAAGCCAAGCGCAAGCCACACTTTCCTTTCCCCTGGTCAGCTGGGAGGTAAGGCCGGCTTTGGGCATGCAGGTGAGAACGTGTGAGAGCCAGCCAAATTGGAGACATATGGTGACACGTGAGACCTACCGCCTCAGCCGCGCTGGCTGGGCTTGCTGGCTGGCCGCATGTGCGGCCTCCGGGGTGGGAAAGCGTCCGCAGGATTCGGCGGCTGGGGCTCAGGCAGCGTCACGCCCAGCAGCATCTCCTCCATCGCGGGCGCGATGGACGTGAGGCGCTCTACCGCGGCCCTCTGCTTGAGCCAAAACTCCTCGCCCCGGTCGAGCGCCAGCTCCTCGCCGGCGTAGATGTCGCGGCTGGCGACGACGAAGCTGTAGGGCCACCCGTGGCAGTGCACCTCCACCACGCGCACCGTGGCCTCACGAATGCTCGGCACCTCCAAACCCGAGGCCTCCGTCCGGTCCGTGCGCCCGGTCATCGGCCGGGAGTTCGGGCTCGCCCGCGAGGCTGGGGAGGCCATTGAGGATGGGGAGCCGGGCGGGCTGGGCTGCTCCTCTGCGCCGACCCCTTGTTGCAACATGTTTACTTGGCCAACCCCCTCCAAAAAGCTAGCTGTTTGTTTAACCACCAGGGTCAAAGGGGGCAAAAGGACAAAAACAACGAAAGACCTCCTTTTGGTTTCCCTCAGGTTGGTTGTTTTACCAACTTTTCCCCCAACCCGCCTCAGCCGAGGGGGGTCGGGAGGAGATGCGTGCCGCCCTCTTCCGCCCATTGGGAAACACCCCGCTGGGAGAGGCCGGCACCGGCACCTCCGGCAAAAGCTCCGACATGCCCAGCGGGTCCGCGCGGATGTCGCGCAGATGGCGCAGGCAGTTGCCAGACCGCAGGTCCACCACCATGGGCTCAGTTCGGAGCTCGGTGACCTGGATCCTGCCGGAGTCTGTTTTGGTCTAACAAATGGGCCCTAGGATGCGGCACGCATTGCCCTTTGGCGCAAGCCAGAGCCCCTTTTCCTTTGCTACCCGTGTAGGTTGGGGTCTCCAAATGTGAACATGTCCATGTTAACCGCGCTGCCTCAAGCGCAGCTCTTCCGCCATGGGGTCGTGGAACATCCACAGCTCCTTGCCGTAGTGCTCCTCCATGTACCGGCTCTTGCGCCGCAGCACACCCCCCACGGGCCCGATGATCTCCCCCTCCTCGAAGATCACCTTCGGCGGAGGCGGCTCCTCTGGGGTGGCCGTCCAAACTCGCCCCAAGTCTTACAGAAAATGGTCCAACCGCGTTCCTTCAAGGATACATGTTCAAAACCCTGCTTGTTGCAGATTGCAGGGGCTCACTTCCCGAGTTCCTGCATTTTAATACTTTTCGGGAAGACCATGTCAGTGGTAAGCATTGTTTGTTGTTTTATTTTTGTTTGGATAAACAAACAAAAGTGGATTAGTTTTCCTTTTTTTAGGCCATCCACTTGGGAAGTGAGTGGTGAAAGTCTGACTTCTTCACCTTGGGTCCTCCTCATCCTCCGGCGGCGGCGCCGGGTCAACGGCAAAGACCCCCAACTCGACCGCCACTTGGTTCCGCGGGCACGGCGCGGGCAGGACCTGCGTCGTCACCCAAAGTGGAGCGCCCGTGGCTTGCAACCCGAGTTGTTCATTTTGGGGACACACGTGGGTGTGAGTTTTAATTGGGGACCCTTTACCCTTTCGTGAACATCATTTAGGTAGGGATTTATGTCCGCCAACCACTTTTCAGCGGGTTCCCATTCATTAAAATTCATGGACACATGGGGGTGAGTTTTAACTGGTGGACATCATTTAGAATGGCTTTTAAGGTCCACCAACAACTTGGAGGTGGTTCCGTATTCGCTCACAGCCAGAATGCGGGTGGAGTGGGCGTAAATCCGGAGCTTTCGGGCCTGCCCTGGTAGCATGCATTGGATGGGTTGATCACAAAAGGAAAGCGAGGTTGACAACAATTGGGCAACCGAACAACTGGGATCGGGGGCATTCGTAACTTTGCTATTCGCAGCGGGGTCCGTCCCCAACACACACCCGCGGGGGAAAAACAAAAACAACAAAAACAGGCCTCTCCTGAAGCAAAAACACGTGTTGCTCTGTTGGACCCCTGCCAAACAAATCCCTGACCCCCCCCCTTCCTCCCCCCTTCCCCGTGCAAAAAACAAACACACACCCAAACAGGAAAAGCCGACAAAAAAAGGCCGCGTCTTTTGAACGACCCCCTCAAGCTGGAAGCTCCCCGTCTGCCCCGTCTCCGAAGGCCCCCGCCTCTAGCCTGGACCAGTCCCATGTGGCGTCCGGCTGGCCCAAAGCCTCCACCAGCTCCTGCCACTCCTGGGGCGTTCGGCCGGTGCCCTCGTCCATGGCCTGCTCCATCACCAGGCCTGGGGACCCAAAAAAGGCGCAAATTGATGGCCTCCTGGAAGCTGATGATGCGGTGTGTTGGAAAAGTATGCAAAAATAGGGAAAAACCTTACAATGACAACCTTCATGACCTCCATTTGCACGTTGTTTAATCCCCTGGAAACAATGGAGACCTATTTCCAGTAGTGATATAGGTTCCCTAAAAAAAAGGGAAAACAAAAATAACAATAACAATAATAACAGAAATTCTTAAGCAAATGGAAGATTAAGACCGAGGTTCCTTGGACAGCTGAAACGCAAGCTGAATTGTTCCTCAACGGTCTGATTTTTGAACAACAAACGAGAAGGAACTCATCACCAACAAAAAGGAAATTGGGTAATTGGGCTGTCGTTCTTTGTCAGGGGTCTGCAGGGGACACTTGCTCTCCTTGACTTCCGTCAATAAAATCTGCGTGAGGCACGCAAACTTAGGGAAAAATAAAACACGAGGGCCCCTCGCGCAACCTCAAAGCTGACCACCCCCCCCCTCCCGCCCTGCCCCACCCACGCCTAAGATCTCCTCCTCCAGCACGGCGTCCTCTTCTAACGCCCGGGAGTGGAAGGCGCTCTTGGCCTCGAAAGGGTTGGGCGTGGGCTGAAGGATGGGGTTCAGGAGGCAGGGAATCAAAAAAAAGTCTGGGTTGGGCTAGGGGCTTTGGGGGGGGTGATATACATCGATGCAGCATCCCAGAAAACCCCCTTCCGGTTCATTCCCAAAACTCCTCAACAAGCGCCCTACCGAGAGCCCGCAAGAAAAGCTACGCGCCTTCTTCTGACCCTGAGAAACACATGGAACCGACCATGGAAGCGTTCTGACTCGAATCTTGTCCCAACTCTTGAGGCGCAAAAACACGATTTTCTGCTCAGTTGGCCTGCTTCCATGTGCTTAAGCCCCCTGGGAAAAAATGTTGCGGTGATAGATTCCCTTTAACACCAAGAAGGGAAAACAACAAATAGTCAAAATTGCAGCACATGGAAAGTTTGCCCCTGGAAAAGAGCTTCCGGTAACACAACCGTCGGCCTGCTGTCGCTTCAGCTTCTCCCGGGTCACCAGCGCCAACTTCGCGCGCGCCGCCGGCAGCCCGTCATCCTCTGGGTCCAACACCGGCAGCACGGGGCCGTCGAGCACAGCCACGGAGAGTTGGTCCGTGGGGATCCTCAAAGAAAGAGGTGAGGGGGGGTGGAGTCGGGGGAGTGGGGGGGAGTGGGGGGAAGGTCGGTGTAGGTGTTTGTGTGGAGAGGGGGTTTGGTGTTTGTTTGGGGAGGTAAGGAGGGTCATGGGGGGTGGGGGGGGGGTCAGGGCAGGGAGGTTAGGAAGGGGGGGTTACGGGAAAAAAAGTTCGGCTCATTACTTTTGCAACATGGACATGTAGGGCATCGCTCTGCGGCAGCCTTCCGAAACCCCGCGACTCTTCGGAAGAGACGGCCCGCGAGTACTTGTTTGCCAGTTTCGACACGCAATTCAGCCACTCGCCCGCGCGCCCCCACATTGCGGCAGCACACACCTGCTAATCAATCCAGTGATTCATCCTAGGTCAACATACTGTGGGTGGACGAAATCACCTAAGAAACCCGAGAGTTCCCTTGTGTCACAGAAGTTGGAAATCCCCCTTGATTCCACAGCCCTGTTCTAGGGAACCCTCCCCCAAAAAAATCACTACTGGGGGACCTAGATTCCCTACGCCCACCTAGCCTTTCCCGTCAGCCGTCGGCCCACGTGAGCCCAGTCCTCATGAAGGCGCCCATGAGCGCCGCCCGGCCCCGGCACCGCTGCACCGCCAGCCACGCGCCGGCGCGGCGCCAGTAGCTCTCCTCCATATCGGGACCGGCGCCGGACGCTGGTCCGCAGGCGTGGATTCCCTGCTCTCCCTTCCACTACTTTCAGTTGCTTACCCTCCCACCCGCTAACACGGAAGTACACAGACCCCTGTAGAAAGACAACTTTCCTCTTGGAAAGGGCCTTTTTGCACTTCCATGTTAGTTGGTGGGAGGGCAAAAAGCACATAGTGATGGATGTAAAACCAACAAGGGAAAGTAACACATGTTCTCAAGCAAATGGAAGAATGAGTTCTCCAAAAACTTCACGCCGAATTTGGTGTCCGAAATTTGGGGATGCCTGCTTTTGACATCTTTCTTACAAGGGACACCCAAAGAAAATGCCCGAGTTGACTGGCCTCGCGTTTGCAGGTCAAACCTCCACGAGGTTTCATGGTTGTGGGAGGCATGTCCTCCCATACCAAAGTGGGATTCCCATCCCTCTGACGATTTCGGTTTCAAATGCAATCCCGTTCGTATCTCAAAACATGGCCCTAATACATCTGCCT